ATTTCAACTCTGGGAAAAAGATTCTGTCTATCAACCCTATCTATGTATTTCATAATATTATAGACTTCTATCATGTCTCCCCTCAGCCCCTTCCACTCCAGAGAAAAGAACCTCAGTTTTTCTCGCTTCTCCTTTTAGCTCACACCCTCCAATCCAGGCAGCATCCTGCTGCACCCTCTCCAAAGCCTCCACATCCTTCCTATAATGTGGTGACCAGAATTTAACACAATACTCTAAGCCCAGCCTAACGAAAGTCTTATAAAGCTGCAATGTGACATCCTGATTTTTGTACTCAATTCCCCAACCCATAAAGGGAAACATGCTATATGTCTTGTTTACCACCCTGCCTACTTGTGTGGCCACTTCCAGGGAGCTATGAACTTGAACTCCAACATCCCTCTGTGCATCAATGCTGTTCAGGGACTTGGGGAGTGAACTGATCTCTACCAGAGCTAAGGTGTATTGAACCAGTAGGGTCCATTGCAGCACACTTGGTCTTGGAAGAATTCTAAACTAACACTTACTATAAACTTTTTCAAGTAACCCTATTTTTCAGGTCACAAAGAGGAATATGGCTGGGGTGTTGGGAAAGGATCACCACATTGCCTTGCCAAATCTCCGGCTTCTAGGGCCACCAAAACCTGAGACCTTATTTTCTGGAAAAGCCGACCTGGAGCATACTGTCATAGTGTCACAGAGCATGGAAACAGATCCTTCAGTCCAACCAGTCCATGCTGAAGATAATCCCAAATTAAACTGGTACCATCTGCCTGTTCCAGACCCATATCCCTCCAAACCTGTCCTATTGATGTACTTACCTAAGTGCCTTTTAAATTTTGTAACTGTGCCCGCATCCACTATTTCCTCTGGAAGTTCATCCCACACACGAACAACCCTGTGTCAAAAATGTTCCCCTCATGTCTTTTTTAAATCTCTCTCCTCTCACCTTAAAAATATGCCCATAGTCTTGAAATCCTCCATCTTAGGAAAAAGACAACTACCATTATCTCTATGTATACCACTCATGATTTTATAAACTTCTATAGGGTCAACTCTCAAGCTCCTATGCTCCAGTGAAAAAAATCCCAGCCTTTCTTGGTAAATCTCTTCTGAACCTTCTCTAGATTAATAATATTCTTCCTATAACAGGGCGACCAGAACTGGACACAATACTCCAGAAGAGGTCTCACTAATGTCTTGTACAACCTCAACATGATTTCCCAACTCCTAAACTCAAAGGGCTGAGCAATGAAGGCAAGTGTGCCAAACGCCTTTTTAACCATCTTGTCGATATGTGATGCAAACTTCAAAAAATTATGCACCTGAATCCCTAAGTCTCTCTGTTCTTCAACACTACCCAAGGCCCTACCATTAATTGTGTAAGTCTTGCCCCTGTTTCTTGTACCAAAATGCAATACCTTGTATGTATCTAGATTGAACTCCACCTGGCATTTTTTAGCCCATTGACCCATTTGATCAAGATCCTTTTGTAATCTTAGAAAACTTTCTTCACACCAATTTTGGTGTCATCCACAAACTTATTAACCATGCTCTCTATATTGTCATCCAAGTCAATTATATAAATGACAAACAAAAGTGGACCCAGAACTGATCCCTGTGGAACTGTTGGTGACAGGCCTCTGGCCTGGATAACAACCTTTTGCCACCAATCTCTGTCTCCTGACGTCAAGCTAATTATGTATCCAATTGTCAAGCTTACCCTGAATTTCTGCAAGGGGCCCTGCAATTGCCTCCTTACCTTTCCCGGGATACACTAGATAAGGCCTCAGACATTTATCCACCATTATATTCTCTAAGACATCCAGCAATTCCCCTTCTATAATGTGAACTGTTTTAAAACACCAGTATTTATTTCCCAGAATCCTCTAGTCTCCATTTCTTTCTTCAAAGTAAAAACTAACGTAAAATGTTTATTTCATATACCTCCCAAGTTCTGGGGTTTAGTGTGGCAGGAAGGAGCAAATCAGCATGGAATCATAGAAAACTCACAGCACACTGGAGGCATTTCAGCCAACTGTGTCAATGTGAGAATGGAGCCAGTGCTATCACCATGGGCTGAACAGCCTCTTTCTGTGCTGTAATAGCTCTGTGATACTTGCTGACATGATCCCAGTTTCTAGCTCTTAGAAATGGAGGTTACTGCACTTCAAGTTCCAATCCAAGGCTTTTTGAAATTCCATGAAAGCTTTTGCCCTTACAACCCTTTGAGGCAGTGACTCCCAGAACCCAGGATCTTTTGGGCAAACACTTCTCCATAATGCTCTGCCGAATGAGAAACAAAGTTGATGATTCAGGTTGAAGAGGATTTTTAACACTTCTGTCTTTATTCATTCTTATGTATTGTATCTTGACTGCTCATAATGGATTATATTTCAAACAAATCTCCATCCAATCATTACTGCTCCAAATAACTGTGGTCTTACTAAAAATGCTCAGCTAGTAAGGACCACACATATTTTATTTGGAAATCTAAACCAGAAGATGGAAATTTAGATCATCAGTTGTTTTATCACAACCTGAAGCAATTGTGTGGGTGTTTAATAGTTACTCCAGAGAGTATAATCTTGCTAAAAGCTGGATTTTTATATTTTTTTTAGGACACAGCAGAACAGGGTGACTTTGAGGGAAAAAGGAGCACTTTGAATTGCTTGTAAGTGAGAATTTGTCACTGAACTGAGAGGAGAGACAATAGTTTGAAGACAGATATTCAAGACTGTCAGTGACTGAAATCACTCGTTTTCCCTCTTTAACTGGAGAAGAAATAATTTTCAAAGAAAGAAAACTTCTAACTTAAATCAAGAACTCGGACCAACTGACCAGCTACCATACTGAGGATCACCACAGTAAAGACAGCATGATATCATTGCCAAAAACCAAAATAAAAGACTGTAAGAAAGTCATTACATGTCCTCTTTTGAATTTGTGTCAGATTTGTAAACTTTGGGCCTTTTTACCCATATTTTCTTCATCCAAGACGTTCATAAAAAGACTATTCATCTTGACTGTCTTATAACTCTGATTTGTGAATGAATGTGTCTGTTTAGATTTAAAGGGGATAAAGTTTGAGTTTGTATATTAATATTGAAAATTCTATTTTTCCATGTGTTACATGAGAAATTTGTTATAATAAATATGTTTTTGTTTCCTTTCTAACTGATAAAGCCTGGTGTGAGTTTCTTTTATCTTAGATAGTGGTCCCAGTCAGGTACTAACCATTCTGGTATTTACTTGCTCATATTTATTGTTTGTGATGGCTTGTGGGAAAGAGGGGTTTTGGCTCCCAGTGCACTTTACCCACTATGGCTGTGACAAACTCTATTATCTTCTTTGTACCTTATCCAATGAGAATGCATTTGTCATGTATGGTGGTGATCGAACTCTATAAAGTACTCTCTAGGTGTGTCCTAACGAGTAATTTCTGAGTAAGTTCTGAGGAAGGGTCACTGGACCCAAAACGTTAACTCTGCTTTCTTTCCACAGACCTGCTGAGCTTTTCCAGCAATTTCTGTTTTTGTGTCAGTAATTTCTAAAGTCTGGGTTTTTGTTCAAGGGTATAAGTAATAGGAGCTCTTCCAACAGAACCCTCTGGAATAAATATTAAGAGTTAAGATTTTGACAGTCGGTCTGGAGCATTAGCCATGAATGTCTATTCTTTTCTTGAAAATTAGTGCTTCCCTTGATATTTATAAAGATTTCAAGTTTGTGGAATAAATAACCTTCGTGCATTTCATGTGCTGAATCTCACATCAGACAATGGGTGCAATATTCCGACCCTGGAGGTGATTTGTCTGGAAACAGGAAGTGAAATTAATTATGAGTGATGGCACCAGACCAGAAGCTGCCCAAATTCCTGAGCCTTTCCAAATCAAGTTTTGGCTGAAAAGGCCCAAGTTTAAATTTCTTACCACGCTGCCAATTGGTGCCCTTAAGTTGTCAATTAATGACCACTTTGTTCCTTCAGCCCATCTGAGGTGCAATTGTTTCAGTTCCAGGATGAATGTGAAAGTGTCAGTCTACCTGACTAGTACATCAGTGTGGGTATGTTGTCAGTTTGGCAGCAGTAGCTCCCTCAATCTGCACCAATTTGTGCACGACCAAGGGTCTAGGCCTAGTGTAGGTAGATGGTCACTCAGAGGTACCCACCTCATTGTCCCCACTCCCAAGCTGTCTAGAGCTTTCAAACTGCCTCCTGCAGTCTACATTTTTCTTCTGCACAATGAATCACATAAGCAAAATTTGTTTTGCCCTCGAAGCTATGGATCATGAACTCTATATTTGTCCCTAAAACTTTGATATAAAACAACAAAAGCAAGTGAGTTACAATTAATCACTGCTGAACCTCACTGGACCAGCTTTCAAGTGACTAATTCACCTGTTGACTATCAATCCGTATATTCTAGCACCAAGTCAATTTTGAATTCAGTTTGATGCTTCCTATTAGATCCCACTGATTTACTTTTCCTGACCATCTCCACTTGAAATCTTGTCAAAGCTTTGCTAAACTCCAAGCAGAACATATCCCTTATGGCTCATACCCTTAATTAGATTCTCTCCCGATGTTCCGATAAACTGAAGAAACATCAACACAGGAGAGAAGCCAATGAGAATAATCCTCATATAACCAGCCATACTTCATCCTGACGTTCCTTCGACCTTGTCATAGTCAGACAATAACTTTTTTTCTTAATCTGAGGTGACTAATGCAAGGTTCTGAAGCTGAAAGTGTTAAAAATAATATACAATCCTTCCAAGTATTTTTGTGCAGAATACATTTGCTTTAATTATATGTGCCTAAAATAGAAGCATCCTCATTCCACGAGAGATAAGTAATAGTACATATTTTAATTAATTTGTATGATTTCTAAATTAACTTAGAATCTAGTCAAACTGGAAAGAATGAACATTTTATGCAAATGTTTAAATTACAGAAATCATATATAAAGCTGCATTTCAGAAATATTCATACAGCAGGAACTGGAGGTCCTAAGGTTAGTGTGACAACCTTCTCCATTTGAGGAGAACATACCGGTTATGCCTTCTCTTTTGGACATTTGGAGAGATAGAAATTTAGCATATTTACTACTTTATATTCAATCTAAGTTTTAAGTTCTTTCTATCGTTTTAGGATTTATTCTTCTATGGTTCTCTCTGGCTTATGTAGTACTGAAATAATTTCTTATTCTCTGTTTAGTCTCTGCTGCTGTGCTTTTAGCTGTGGTCTGCTTTGCTTTTCTGACCACTCTTTTTCCATGTATTTCTAGCTACACTTGTAATCATCCAAATTAAGTGTTTTCTTTTACTGCCTCTTGAGTTTGTACAAGTCATTTCTGCTCTCTGTTTCCGTTTTGATTTGATAATTTAAGACTACATTTGGTCAGTTTAAACATGCGTATTTAGAAATGTATAATTCCTTCTTAACCTTATCATTCATCCATAGCTTCCTAGCAGTTGATTTTCTGAATTGTTTTTTTGAATTTAGCCCTTTTTTTTTCTGTTAAATACCTGACTCCTGGTTTTAAGTATATCTGTCTCTCAAATCATGCTACACTTGGATACCAATCCCAAGGATGCTGCAACTTCCATGTCCTGTAAAAGTTAATAGATTGGGGATAAGGTTGAGAATGAACAATGTCAGATCATGCAGATTGTTTAAAGATGATCAGAAAACTGAAGGGGAATTTCGGAGTTAATATACTGTTATATCAGAATTGTTAAAAAAACAGCAGGAGTACTACGCAAACTGTGGTAAAAATTTGTCCAGGCCCTGGTCTGATTTCAAAATCTGACACGTTCAGATATTTAGTCATTATAGAATCATAGAAGAGTTGCAGTACCAAAGGGTGGCATTTGGTTTAGTGGGGCCTTGTCAACTGTTTCCAGTTCACCTAGTCCTACTCTCCTGCTCTTTCCCCATAACCTTACAATATTTTGGTCTCCAGCTGCTTTTCTGATTTCCTTTTTGAAAGCTGCAATTAAACGTGCCTCCAACACCATCTCAAGCTATACCTTTCAGATCCTAACCACTCGCTGCATAAAAGAAAATTTTCCTCATGTCGCCATGGTTCTTTTACCAATCAACTTAAATTAGTCATGGAATTTTACCAAACACCTTAATTTCGTGCCACTATATATTTCTGTGTTTCCTATCAGATTTCGTAATAATAGTCTTCTGGAACTTTAATGATCACTGTTTAAGGCTTCTAGCCTTATATGGATCTCTCAGTTCATGACTCGTGTAATGTGTTTCTTTCAGAATGGCACGCCTGTGGTCCCTCAGTGTGCTGCTCACTGGATTCCTCCTGCTTCAGACTGGTGGAGTTCATGCAGGTAAGAGACAGAACTGGCAATTCAAATCTTTCTCATGTAACCTGGCAGAGAAGCAGAGATTGAGTCCGATTCTCCAGGCCTACCTGACCTCACCAAAGACTAGATGATACCAAGACTGGCTGTAGAGTTTTGTTGAGATACAGGGCAGACTTTCTATGATGTGGTGCATTGGTGCTTGTTTCCATTCTTACCATTTGTCACAGCATTGCCTACAATGTAGAATGAGTATAGACAGAGTAAGATAAACAGAATAAGAGATTATCTTGTTAATGATACAGAAGAACTTCATGGTAGCCTATGTTAAACAAATCACAGTCTTGTTCTATTGGATATGTCAAAGGAAGTTGCTCACAGTCAGATATTGAGTGAATTTAGAGCAAAGACATGAACAGCAAAGCCAGAAATTAACGTTAGGTAATAACAGGGGAACTTCACTTGACTCTCTCCAAAATTCACATGGGCTCATCATTTATTTCTCAGTTTAAAAACATCTTCCTAAAGTAAATTGCTTATGTTGATAAATGCAAAACATTTCAGATGCTGGACATTTCAATTATAAACAGTGCTGGAAAAACCCAGCAGGTCAGGCGACATCTGTGGAGACAGAAACAGAATTGAGTCTGACTCTTCTTTGGACTTTATTCTTAGGCCGGTTAATGAAACACATTAAAATTTGCAGCAAAAGATTGGATCAATTTTAAAATAAATATAAGCTGCAAACAACAAACATAAGCAGAGGGTTTCAGCTACCACTGCAAAGCGTTCTGGGGACATTAGATACTGTGCCAGTTTTGCTAAGGCACAGTTACCCTTAAGTTTTAATACAAGCTCATTAGGATCATGTGTCATGATGAAAATAATGAAAATAAAATCTCCCATGAGTCAATGCAATTGATTAGGTCAGAATCTCCTACACCGCAGTACACAGATAGATTACCAGGAAATGAACTGTTTGTCAATATTTAAACTAATTAATTTGCAGCCAGGTAAGGCTGGACATTGAGTGATGCAATGTTCTTGATTTCACTACTTCGTTAGCTTCAATAATGATTGGTTTCAAATTTTACATCCCCAGTGCTGATCAATTAACTGAATCTAAATTAATTTTAACTGTATTTAAAATAATTACTGTAGCAGGAGAAATAAATCTGGGTAGATGGTTTCAATTAATTGCTGGACACTGGAAGAGAGAACAATTGAAGGGGGAACTGTAATTGATAATGGAGCAAAGATGTAATTGATAGTGCAGTGGGGGCAGATATAACTGTCAGTGAGTCGTCGGGGGCGGGGATCTGAAATGTACAGTGGGGCGAAGAGGAACAGGAATTGTTAGTGGAGGGGGTAATAAGCTGTAATTTGTAGTGAAGGTGGGTGAAGCCAAAATTTGCAGTGGGGAGATGCAATAATTTACAGACAGGAAAGTAGAAATTGTAAAGAAATTCAAGGCAGTTTGTATTTGACTGGTGCAGCTTATCTCTTGGTAACACCATTGGAGTTGCTCACAGGGAATGCTGCTGTTTCTGTCCTGCATTTCAGGAAGTGATGAGAACCTGGAAGTATTTTTTCCTTATACATTCACAGGCTGCCAATACCACTGGCTAGAATAGCATTTATTACCCATCCCTACTGGCCCAGACGGCAGTTAAGTATCAACCACATTGCTGTGGGTCTGTAGGCCCCTCCAGGCAAGGACAGCATTAAAGTACAACCAAATGGGTCTTTTTTTCCCGACAACCATTTCATGGTCACCATTAGACTTCCAATTACAGATATTTATTGAATCCAAATGCCACCATCTGCCATAGAATTCAAACTCAGGTCCCCAGCACATTACCAGTATCACTGGATTAATATTCCTGTGAAAATCCCACTCGGCCATCATCTGCCCTAAACTGGATTATATGATCCTAGTCTGAAACCTCACAGGTTGTGCCTTCACCAGAGGCTAATGGAGAAACCTATCATCTTCTGGCTGAAGGCCTAAACGTCATTTATAAATAGGGAACAATACTGCCTGCATCAGTCAAAGTCAACACTGATCCAAATTATTTTGTTTCTGATTGCTTCTAAGCACATATTGTAATTTGTCTGCTTAGTCAGGCAGCTGCTCACCGAGCTATCAGGAAGTTAAGGAGAGTTTCAAAAATCATACTCATCCAATGGAACCAGATAAATAAACAGAAAGAGTGCTATTTATTCCTAAACTGGTAGACTTCTTACATTTGACTGAAGAACTGACAGCCTACTTGTGAGTCCTTGATATGTGAGTTACTCGGTTTCTTAGTGCAAGCCTTCCACTGAGGATTAACGCGTATCCATTCTCATTTTCTCATTCTAATTAGCATTCATTGCTTTACCCGGTGTCACTACTTCTGCCCCAACAAGCAACTTCCTGCAAAATGGGTGCCTTCAGCCAGACTGGCGTGGTTAAGACACCATAACAGAGTTGGTCAATGAGTAATAGAGTCTTGTGGAGCTGCATGTCATTAAAATGGCTGATCTCTTCCTGCAAGTTCCCTGTATTAAAGTGAGACAAAGAAAAGCTTTTCCAAAACAAAGAACTGCAGATGCTGGAGATCTGAGACAAAAACAGAGATTGCTGCAGAAACTCAGCAGGTCTGGCAGCATCCACGCGAAGAAAACAAACTTTTGAGTCTGTTGACTCTTCATCAAAATTGTTCTGTGTTTGAAAAGTTTTCTTTTATTTGTGCAAATTATGCCAGGTTCCCTTTGAAGAAATAATTGAGTACGAGGGAATTGCAATTCTTTGGGAGGGTGCAGGAAGTTAAGAATACTGATGATGGATGTAGCTCAATCTTTAGAAACCTTCATTTTCATCTTCATTGATTGTCTCAGTCTCTCCTGTTTCTCTGCCTGTGAAAGACTAAGATGTAATGTACCATTTTAAGTGATGTGCTTGACTACAAGTTACTTGTTCTCATTTTCCATCCAGGTATATGTTGGAAAAATGTAAAAAAAAATTGAGAACAGTAAAAATCAGTTGTTTCGTGTTATTATAGGTGGCTTCATGTACTCAGCTTTTTGTTCAATCCTCCACCTCTACTTAATCCAGAAAGTGTCAATGCAATCTCATAGTTCCATTTGCATTATCTCTCTCCTTATGAAGTAAATTTCAGATTGGAGCTGCCTTTGTCCTTTCTCAGCATGTGTGACTGAAAGTTGTTGTTTCTATTGAAGGTGACAACGAATTCCTGGGAAGTCCATTTATACAAAGAGCTGTACGTGAAGCCATTGAACTCGTGGACAACGCTTATAAGGAGACCCGAATTATGTAGGTTCTTTGCCTCTGTAACAGTGTCATGTTGGGTTCTCCACGGAAAGCTCAACTCATTAAAGTTGCATGGAATAAGGACTACTATATTCATGATGAGAACAGTTTTTGTTTTGTGCTAGTTCATTCAAAGATCTGGTGTGGTGCATGGTTAAAGCTCTTCTCTTTATATTGACATTAAACATTTAAAACAGGACTGTAACTGGGTTGGGGAGATTTGCAGAGAATGAATTCCCGAAGTTGTTTTCCTGAATCTTGAAAGAATCCAGACCAGGAAGGCCCCAGGTACAACTGCTGATATCACTATGCAGGAAACACAACCAATAAAATGACACAGACTCAGTTAGTTATCAACCAGCTAGGATTTCCATTTCTGGTAACTGTTAGATACTAGCAACATTGGGAATAATGAGGATACTGGGCAAGAACAGGACTGGAAAAAGTGCCTGCACTGTCGAATAATCTGCTCACACTCACTGTATTGGCTAACACAATAAGAATTGTCAATTTTGTGAACTGGCCCATACTGGCCAGAGAATTATCTTTGGCTTGATAGGGAAGTGTTCTGGACAAAACTTATGTGATGAAAAAGATTTGCTTGGGTAATTATTTTTGCATTGAAAGATGCTCCATCAGATGAGGAAGTCAGAATATCTCATTTTCAACATTGCTGACTTTCCAGCAATAAATTTTAATTTCCAGAACACTGGACCACTATATATTGGGCATACTGACCTCCAAAGCAGATTCCCATTCTATGTTTATGGTGTATGAGTCTCTGCATGATGAGGGGCATTTGCTCAGTTACAGTTCAACTCACCCCAACTTCACTCTAAGTAAAGAGTCACTCTTTAAATGTTTATGGCTGTGTACAATTACACCACTATTCACAGCCAGAATAATGATAATTGAAGAATTCTCCAGTAAATCAGGGACCTGCTTTGCTGTCAGTGATTAGAACCGAGTTTTCCATCTTCATGTTATTCTGTATTAACTACAATTGGTTGGAGAGATCATCCTGCCTTGATCAGAAAGCATTGCTGTATCATTATTCATCAGTCCTATTTGTGACTATAAACTCTGTTTAATTTGACAGTGCAATGGAGGAACACTCATGAAAATTATAGGCATTTGTTTCTTTTTGCATGTCTGGTGCTGGGAAACTATTAGTTTCAAGAGAGGCCATGAGCTCCCTCAACTCACTAAGGTGAACTTCTACATCCAATTCACTTTCACTTGCTATCTCCATGCCCCTTGATTACCCATGTCCAAAAATCTGCAGGTTGCTGTCTTAAATGTCTCAACAACTGAGCATCCACTGTCTTCAGAGTACAGAGTCTCAAAGATTCACAATTTGCTGAGAAAAGACATCTCAATCTGAAATGGTTCACCACTATACTGGGACACTTGACACCTCGTTCTCCACCCTGCAAACAGGAATGCTAATTTCTCAGCACTTACTCTGTCAACCCCATTAAGAGTATGTATCAAAGAGATCACATTTCACTCCAAAGAATATGAATACACACTCAATTTCACATTTTAGGACAGCCCTTTTATCAAAAGAGTCAATCTATTGAATGGTTGTTGCAATCATTCTAAGGTAAGTACATTTTTTCTTAGGTAAGGAAACCAAAATTACAACCAGTTATTGAAGTGTGAATTTAGCAAAGTCCTGTATAACAGCAGCAAATTGACCCTTAAACTCTAATTGCCCTGCACTGAACGCTGGTTTGCCCTTCCAATTCTTAGAGTACCTGAGTCAGGATCTGAATTCCTCATTTTCTCTGTCTGACCTAAGTCTATTAATTTCCAGCCAAAAAGAGCGGCTGAGCAAAAGATCCTTGAAGGCTGGTGACCTCCTGCGTTTCTTCAAGCACCCAATGGCAGAGACCAGAGTTGCCGTGCAGTCAGCGGAGTACATGGAAAACGCACTACGCCTCATTCAGCACCACGTCCATCGAGTTCACAAACGCTCACTGAATACAACAGGTCAGTTAGAGAACAAGAGACTGTGGCTGGAGCACACACAAAAATGGTTTCATTGGCCCAGTCTCCTCCTTCTATCATTACCAGTGAATGATATCACTGTGACTTTACAAATCCATTACAAACTGAGCCATGTGAGGATGACTCAGAAAAGTCACATTTGCAGGAAGGTGGTGCAGACAGGGGTCAGGGTGGGTGTGAGCCAGGGCAGGTTAGTGGTGGTGATTGAATTCAGTAAACCAAGAGGCTGTGTACTGTCTGCCTTGCAGCAGCTTACCCAGCATTTTACCGGATTGCTCAGTTCAAGACTCACTTCTTGGGTCAGGTTCGTGCCCCAGTGCTCTACAGTCAGTCGGTCCCGTCCTTTCAGCAGGAGCAGGATCAGGGTAGATTTCCTAGGACGGGACTTTTGATTTGACAAGATGGTTTCAGCTCTGGCTGTTGATCAATGTGAGAAGCTGTACGCTCATAAACTTCCACAGAAGCAGCCTGTTTGGGAGCTGGGGAAAGTCTCCCATATAATGGAAGAACAGTGGATAGTCAGAGGTCATAACCTACATCAGTACCAACAATATATAAGTAAAGGAAATAGAACAAACATCTGTGGGTTCTGGAATTCTGTACCAAAAACAGAAAGTGCTGAATAAACTCAACAGATCTAGCAGCATCTGTGGAGAGAAAGTAGAGATAATGTTTTGAGTCCAGTAACCCTTCATGAGAACATGCAGTTCTGAAGAAGTCACTGGACTCAAAATATTAACTGTGCTTGCTCTCCACAGAGGTCATCAGACCTGATGAGTTTCTCCAACATGGGGGAGATCTTGCAACAGATTTTAGAAAATTTAGGAAAACAGAATTTCAAAGGTAGTAATCTCTGGATTATACCCATCATTGCAAAATGTATATAAAAATAGAGCAGATAAATGGTTAAAGCAGATGAGTACAGCACTAAAAGTGTGAAGAGATTTTCTAGGATGTTGCTGGGAATGGAGGGTTTGATTTATAAGGAGACGCTGGACAGACTGGAACTTTTATCACTAGGACGTTGCTGGGAATGGAGGGTTTGATTTATAAGGACACGCTGGATAGACTGGAACTTTTATCACTAGAGCATAGGAGGTTGAAGATTGACCATATAGAGGTTTACAAAATCATGAAGGGTATAGATAAAGTGAATGGCAGGAGTCTTTTCCATAGGTTCGGGGATTTCAAAATTAGGGGGCATATTTTTAAGGTGAGAGGAGAAAGATTTAAAAAAGACCTGAGGGTAATTTTTTTACACCGAGAGTGGTTCGCGGGTGGAATGAACTTCCAGAGGAAGTGATAGATGCAGTCACGGTTACAATGTTTAACAGACATTTGGATAAGTACATGAACAAGAAACGTTTGGATGGATATGGGCCAAGCACAGGCAGGTGGGACTAGTTTAGTTTGGGATTATGGTCAGCATGGACCCTTGGACCAAAGGGTCTGTTTCCATGCTGTATGACTACGATGAAAGGAAGGAGAGTTTTGGTTTTCTGAGGCACTAGAACTGGTTCTGAAGAAGATGTGATGCGTGCAAGCCACCTCAATACAGCTAAGACCTTTGTCTTAGCAGGTCTTTTGCCAATGATATTAGGGAGGTTTAAAATTGGCAGGGAACCAAAATGCAATATGGGAGAGAGAAACCAAACTGCAGAAAGGTCCAGAAAGGCAGAGTAAGAAATTGTGAGGCATTAAGTGAGGTCAGAGCCAGAAAAGGTAAGTTTCAAAATTATGGTTAGAGTGTATTGATGTGAAAACATAGAATTAAAGAAAGATAAAGTTAGTATTGTTTTACCAGGCCATAGAGCTGCTCTCTCATTAGAGAGAGATGACTGGCGGTGGTTTAACCTGAGGATCACTATGCCTCAGGCAAGGGGAGAGGTTGAGATTGAGAAGAAGAGTCCTTCAAAGTAACCTCAGCCAGTGTGGGAATTGAACCCACATTATTGATATCACTCTATACTGCACACCAGCTATCCAGAAAACTGAGTTAGAACAAACGAAGCAAGAGCCATCAGAAGATGAAAGACAGAGTCAAATGAAATTGAAAAATGTAGAAATGGCAAAAAGGAAATCAGAGAAGCAAAGAGATAGCATGAGAAGAGATTGATAGCCAACAAAAAAGGAACCCAAAAGTCTCTTCTATGAGCATTCAGAAAGTAACACGAGGGTCTGGTCTTACCAGGGATTAAATGAAGGGATTTACAGGTGGATAGCATGCATGATTCAGGCACTTTGTATCTACGTTTAAAACGAAGATGCTACCAAAGCCATTGTGAAAGAGGAAGTAGTTGAGATACTGGGTTGGTGTCTAATTAAAAAATCATGGTGGTGAGATAATAAATAAACCACCTGTCCTTACATTTGAGAAGTCTTCATGTTGTCGCTGAGGCCCATAATCGGTGAACTTGGTCTGGAGGTTACGCTTGTTATCAGTACCAGCAGACAATTGGGTCAAGAATTTATTAACTGTGCCTGTTGCTGCCCCTGATGTATCAGAAAGTCAGAATATTGCCCAATTGATGTAATTACTGTGTGAAGCTCAGAACTGGTTAACGAGTGGGTGTGTTTCCTGCAGATCTGTTAACACCAAGTGACCTGGATGCCGTTGCACGTGTCACAGGCTGTCTAGCTGTACGTCAGCCCCCACTCTGTAAATACGACTGTTTTACAGACCGATACAGGACCTTCACCTCTGTGTGCAACAACAGGTAGGAACTGTTAGTGACAACGATTTTTTCTACTTCAATAATCAACTACCAACTGTAAAAAAAAATGACTAAATCTATCATCATTCTAATATTTATTAGTCAAACTGTGACCTGAGTCCAGAAAATAATGCGGCTAATTCTTTTCAAGAACCCAGTGAAGAAAGCACAGATCCACATGAAACACCATATTTCTGTGCATTTCCATGTGATGATTGGTTAAGAATTCCTGACCCAGTTAGATTAGCCTTTTGTCTTAAATAATGACAAATGACCTCAAAGGCATTAGGATATGTCCCAGCGCATTAAAAAAAGTTGCTGAATAATTAGAGAATTAAGTTTAAAACTTTCATTAAATGAATATGGGTTATTATTATTATTGTGGACCAATTAAGTCTATGGCAGATTCTATAGTCAATATACTTTGAACGAGACTCAGGAAACAATTAGGTAAATACTAGAGCACCTAAACAAACTAACAACAGAACTGCAACTCCAATAATTTACATCAGCACTTTTAATGTAATCAAACTGTCAAATTAAAGACAATAATCTAATGGTTAATGGCTTGTCAGGGATTAATTAACTCAGTCTGTTTGTTTATTTAAAATAGCAAACACATTATAACTTATAAAGCAGACATTACAGGAGAGCAATTGATTTTAGTGTGTGCAACTTGTAAAGCCCTAGGAGAAAACTGGCAGGCAGAGTCGCAACATTGTATACAAACAGCTCATGGAATCTTTAAAGGTGAATTGTCTTAAAGGCAAAGTGTAAAGAAACATCACAAGTTCCTTCACTGGAACATTATGTATGCAAATTTAGAAACTGGGTGATCAAAAGCTTGTTCAAAAATCTAAGTTTTAAGGAGAACCTTAAATGGAAAAAAGGAAGAGAGGTAGTGACCGGAAGTTTTAGGAAGGGGAATTCCACAGCTTGGAGACCTTTCCCTGCCTTATCAACCTGCTCCTGTGGATTTCAGGCTGCAGCTTCTTCGTATTTCTTTTAAAACTAACAAAGATTTTCAGACTTCTATGATGTTTTCATTTTAATTGTTCTTTAGTTATTGACATTCTTGACCACATAATTTCCTCCACATTCAAACACAAGTCCTACATTTCCTTCATTTCTGAAGTTTCTTTTACAAAGCATGGCTTTCATGATTGTGCCAAGACTAACTTCATTAGCTCTTGACCTTCCATAAAACTTTAGTCTTTGCAAACAGGTGTCACACTCCTGGTCAATGTTCTTTATTCTGAAGGCACATTTTGAACCTTTGCCTGGTCGGTAACTTTTTCGGCTGGTTTTCATTTTACCAATACAATGCTCAAGCTTCCTTTAATGTGTCCTTTTGTTTCTTCAGAGCTCCAAATTCAGCATCTAACTAATTCTTCTTTCCCATTACACTTTCACTTCAGTGAAATCAGGTTAGATTCAAAATGATGAAATCTTTCACTCTTTCCCCAATTATAAAATCCAATTTGGAATCAAGGGATGTCAATTCCTTCGATTATCTCAATCCATCTCCCATTCTTTTCAGTTTTGGTGTGGATTATCGTGTTGGATTTGGTCCTGAGCTTGAGATCCTCGATAATGAGTGAATTGACTGATGACATTTTCTAATATTCTAATGCTAATGACGCTGGACACCAGTAAATGAGTTGCTGTTACAGACAAAGGCCATAAACTACATTTATTCGAGCTTCATGTTTGTTATTGGCTTGAGAATCAGTTTGGTATGTGGCTGATTGGTTTCAGTGAAAAGGGGAAATCAGTGAAAAGGGGTGGAGAACGGGGAACCAATGGAAAGGGAGGTCAGGTGAGGTGAGTAATCCTTCCCAAAATAACAACTAGCCCTGAGCTGTTTAGACCCAAGGACAATAGTCATTTATGACTTTTACTTAATGCCATTTTTTTGTTAATTATTGTGTTAAATGAAAGAAAATTCTGACAGAAAACTTCCAGCAGCCACTTGCTGTCAGTCCTTGACTTATCGCAATATCATTTGTGCCAGCTCCACTCAAACTAAGGTCTCTTTCTGGATCAGGTGCACTGGGGGAAAAGAAATGAACATTTTGTTTTCCTGATTTCCAGGAGGAAGCCTCGCCTGGGATCGTCCAACATTGCACTCACCCGATGGCTCCCAGCTCGCTATGAAGATGGATTTTCACTTCCACTGGGCTGGACTCCAGGCAAAAGAATATCAAGGTTCACTCTGCCACTGGTAACTATTCACACATCAGACAGAAATAAATCTGATTCACTGAAAAACCTACTGTCAACTGTCCTGAGCCCCACCTTACCAGGAACAGCAGTGGGTGCATTAGTACAGTGTCCTTTCACTTTGCGATAAATCCAATCCAGTCAGATGGGATGAAGCTCATTTCTGTCTTTTCATCCTTTAACATTCCTTTACAACTGATACCTGCATTAAACAAATCAATTCCTAGAGGGTACAGGCACAGAACAAAATACTGCTCCTTAATGCAGTACAAACTGATTGCAGGTTTGCAGTTTCATTTGGAAAGACCACGATGCAGACTGAAGCATGAAATGATCTGTCTGTGAGACAGTTTAAAAAACATCGCCGCCTCCTTTTGGGTGTCTCTGGAGCTGCTGTGATGAGGTTTCAGTCTTCATTAGTGTTCCCTTATTTACTGACACAGCACACAGAAGAGCAGATGAGAGTGCAGTAAAGATGGTGTGATGATAGATCAACCTTTGTATTGTTTTCTTGTACTGAATGTGTTCTGCTTCTCATCCAGGTTCGCGAAGTGTCAAATACAATCTTGAGAACACCCAATGAAGATGTGGTCATGGATACAGAAATCAGTCACATGCTGATGCAGTGGGGTCAGTGGATTGATCACGATATGAGTTTGAGCCCTCATTCTGGCAGCATCCAGACGTTCAATGATGGCATTGACTGTGAAAGAACTTGCGTTCAAAGAAATCCCTGTTTCCCAATACGGGTGAGAGCTTAGATCAACTTCATTCTGAAATAGTATTTT